TAACAAAGAAAAAAATTAATTTTACTATACACAATGATGATTTTTAATAATAACCATATTTTTTACTAATTAAGAAACAACCATATTTTTATATATAAAATTAATTATATAGTATATATAATCAAAATATATTAATTATTTTGCAATCTAAAGATTATTTCTTATTTTAAAAATATTAAAAAATGAAAATAATTATTTTTAAAAAATATGCAGTAGGGGGGTGAGGGGCTTGACCTATACTTTTAATGGTTTATGTACTATATTTAAATAAAAACTAATTTTAATGTTCTATTTAAAAACACAACCTCGACTTAAAATTTATAGTTTATAAACCATAAAAGTATTGGTTCATCCTTAGCATAAAGTCAAAACTTGAAATCATATTAAAAACGACTTGGGTGTTTGTTAGTTGTTAGTTCTCAATAAAGTCATCGGTAGGCGTTAGTTTTTATGTTTGATATGGCTCTCGTTGTCGGCAACTCTTGGATATTGAAAAGCAAACTTTCCTCTTCGGATTTGACCAAATATGTTGGTTTATGCGGAAGAACAAACAATTCCAAGTGTTCTCTGGTATAAACACCATTGGCTTCCAGTAACAATCTGGAATCCTCTTTTATAGAAACGAACATTCTTTTAATCTTGCCAATATTGACTCCAACAACACCAGAACGCTTATATGATGCAATAATGATGTTTTTGTTGCTTTGCTCTCTAATGCTCCCAACACCTTTTTGGTATGACGAGCAATGGAAACACAAATATGCTCTCTCAGCTCTCCTTGTTCTCTTAGAACTTGTCGTGATCTGCCATCACTATCACTATGTTCTCTCATCCAAAAATCAATTCAGTTTGAACCTCGCCGTGTTCAGTTAATGTGAAATTGGCGTCAATTGATCTTTAATTGTCAGAAAACTCAGTAAGTTAGTGTTTTAACAACTCCAAATACACAAGCCAAATGGTGAGACGAATTGGCTTGTGTGAGGAACAACTTGTCTATTATTGCTAAAGGAAATACTTTGTAGAAAGAAGTTGTATTTGTGCTGTCGTAGAAACAAAAATAATTGAAGCTTTGTGAATTAATTCTTGGTTATTTCAAACAATAAAAATAAGCCATTCAATTTTCTTCATAACACTAAGGTTGTTTACTGTTTCTATCAAAAAACGTTTTATTTTATTTTGGATAAGCTAAGAATCTTTTTCTTTGACATTTTTTATAAATTATTTATAGTTTTTGTTATTTTATAAATAGAACCGGGAAAACTTTGTATAGTAAAAAAGATAATAAAACAATTGGTCAATCCCCTTTGTTTCGTCAAGCCCCTCACTCCCCCTACTGTAATAATTGGGTTATAAGGATATAAATAAATCAAAGAAAATGTTTTATTCGTTTAAATAAATAAACAACAAGATTATCTTTGTCAAATTTTTATATTTTTACAATAAAAAATTATATATTTAAAATAAGTTATTAGTTAATCAGACTCTTTTGTGTAAACTTTGTGATATTTTAATAAAAATACTTAAAAGAATACTTAAAAAGAATGCAGCTTTACACTTTTCCAATAAATCTTTTTTTTCTGCGGACTACATTCACATTGTCGTTCCTTTCAAATTGGTCGATCTACTTTCTCCGACATTTATACAACAACATCTAGAAAATGTTAAAGCAAAGAAACTTAAAGTGTTGATTAAAGGTTTTAATGATTATCAAGAAATGGAAATAAATATGTTTTTTTTTTCAAGTCTAATTCTTAATTTAATTGGCTGTTTTAAATATTCTTGACATATTTTCATTTAACTAAACTAAACTTTCCCAAAAGTGCATTAAAACAACAAAAAATAATATTGAAAATTTTGAACTATTTGTTGAAAATGTTAAATAAAATGTTTTTCATTTAAACAAAAAAGAAGTTCTACACTGACAGTAACCATTTTTTGGGTAGTAACCATTTTATCACACCCCTATACATATTCTTCGACTGTTTTGAGGTGTTGTCTAGATGTTTAAATGCCTCCAATTCTGTTTTCAAGCATATCATTTTCATGGTTATAACACACATTCTGTTTTAAGGAATTTAGTGTTTATCCTCTTCAATTTTTCTAAACCGGCCTCTTTGTCTCTCATAGTCTTAACCTTTTATCGTTCTACCATTTGAACGTTCTTCTCAAATATTACAGCTCTGACCGCGATTAAAGCGATATTTCTCATATATCCGTTTAATCAATTTGGGTTTTTCATGGTCTTTCTTCTCTTAATCAAGTTCAGTTTCAACAATCTTAAACTTCTCTTGTTATTTCTTTTTAATATAATTATTTCATCATTGGAAAAGTCAAGTGGCTTTTATAACAAGTTGAATTTGTCATTCAAAACATTGATTATTAAAGTTCGGGTTTGCTCAATTATTTTTTTACAACTTGTCTTTCGAGCGTAAATTTCTTTGTTAAAAGTAGCCTTTTATTTTAAAGAATTTTTCAATTTGGAATTAACAACTTATTTAGCTTTGGTAATATTATCATCTTTCAATTGAGTAATTGTTTCTCCCAAACAACGCAAATATCCCAAAAATCACTTCAACATCGTCGATTGTTGCGGGCGCATTAGCCAAAGGAAAGCCCACAATTGAACAAACTGTTGTCAACATTCGACAATACTTGGACGCACTTTGGAGAAGTCTCAATATTATTTCTCTTCTTTATTATGATTTTTAGTTGAATTATAATATAATTATAACACTTTTTGTCATTACTTTTTTATTATCAAAATAAATAAATTATTTCCTAAAAAATTAAGTATAAGAAATAAAGTAAGTAAAATAAACCATTATATAATTACAAAGTTGTTAATTCAATTAATAGATTTTTTAAATTAAAATACTATTTTTGCATAAAGCATTCCTTTTTTTGTAATGAAAATCTTTCAAAAGTCTTTTGAAAATCATTTGAATAACAAATTCTTTGTTGAATTTGGATACAAATAGATGTTGTTGTTGCCAAACAGATGCGCAATTTATTTTATTAGAAGTGTTTTTTTTTAATTTTTTTTTGATTAGGATAAAAAGAAAAATTGAACCAAAAAATCAAAAAGTATTTTTATAATTAAGAAATCTTTCCCAATTAATTCCGACAAATTATACATTAAATAACATATGGACAATGTTTTATTTGTTATCTTTAATTTTGTTTTGTTGTAAAATGTTTGGAACCGAATTAACAAAAAAATGAATTTATTAACATAAACGGGATTATTAGCTAAAAACAACATCTTTATATTTATTTACATTTTTTAAAAAACATTTTAATAATTAGCAATAATAATTCTTTTAATTTACAATTACAGTCATGCGAAAAAGCTGTCGCGTTTGGAAAAACCTGTCTCGGGTGGTAATGAACTATTCTAGTACTATAAACAAATGATCTGAAATAGAAAATGTTATTTGGAAATGCCGAATATTTTTATTCGATTTTTGTGAAATGACCC